TGAGTAAATATTCCAAAGTACAGCACAGGGATACTTCAAAGTTGGAAAATATAAAATCATAGATGGATACAACCACATCAAAACTAGAAATTTCATTTGATCCCGAATTCCCTGTCTAGGTATCTTCCCAAAAGAGTTAAAGGCATCATAGCACAGCGATGTATGCATACCTGTGTTTATAGCAACACAGTTTATCATAGCTGGATCTTGAACATTGTCTATATACCATCAACAGATGAATGGATAAAGAAAATGTGGTTTTTCACATAATAGACTCTTGCTCTGGCATAAAGAATGATAAACTTGAGTCACTCAGAGGTAAATGGACACATTTTGAAACTGTGGTATTAAGTGAAATCAATTGAACACCCAAATACCACATAGTTTCTCTTGTAAGAGAAACCCAGCTATCTACAAATGAAGAACAAGATAACACATAGATCATAGGAAATAAGCAGGTCTTTTTGCAAATGGGAAGGGGAACAATGGGTGAAGGAAGGAAGGTGGAAAGGGAGGGACAGACAATAAAAACGAATTGGAACAAAATAGATATTGAGCTTTTGCAAAAGAGAAGAAGAGTAGGAGATGGAATGGTCCAGGAAGAAGGGGATGAAAAAAGAATTAAAATGTGTTATGTACGTGTTCCAGCCCACACAATAAATGTAATTATTATGTACTGCAAATGTGTACTAATTAATGTTTTTAAACCACAGAGAACAGTGTGAGAAAGCTGATGTACACTTAACACCTAACCAGAGTTTTAGCTTTGTGGAGATAGTGGTGGAGGAGGTATGTTTTGAAAAATGCAACCTAAAATTGTTTCAAAGTTCATAAGAATCATCAAACCACAGACTCAGGAAGTGAATTAAATGCTAAATAATATAAACACAAAGAAATCCTGTAATGGGGGTACATTGAGGTTACAGGGAACAAGCTGTGATACATTTGAATCCTGCCTGCAACATTTTACTAGGTAAATAACTTGCGGCGAACTATTTAACCCTTCTTTGTCTTTGTGTACAACCTGTAAAAGTACTTGTAAAATCATACCTATATCATAAGTGTTTTGAGTTGGTATCTATCATGTCATTTAGTGCTATTAGGTTTGTAATTTTCATTTTCATTACTTTTTCTTGACTATTCACCAAGGTATTATGGATTTCCTATTTCTTACTAACTACCTCTCAATAAATAGTATGCAAATTGGTCTGCCTTGCCCTAACTCTTATGCGTGATGAAATCCCACAAAATATCCCACATGAACAATCTACAAAGGACAGAGAGCAACAGATATTTATTTACAAGAGAGAAATAGCCATTTCCCTGCAATCTTGAAAAGAGAAAAGAAAACCTTTCACTTCTCTGGGGCTAGGATCTCATTCTAATCACTTAGATTCTAATCATTCTAAAGATCCTAGGTTCTCATTCTAATCATTTAGAATGGAAATGCATCCTTCCAACGGCCAGAAACACCTTAGGTGCCTCTAAGGTCTTGGCTTTATACCTAAGGTGATACCAAAGCATCCAAATATTTCTGGTACCTTAAGAGTTCAATCTAGGGACCTTATGTATCAGTAATCACTTAAGTCTTTGGGGGAGATAACAGTAATTTCATTATCCATTTGAACCAAAGCAACTAAATGAGGAAATGACTCTGCATCTAAAACTATATAAAGTGAAAGCTCAGCTGGTAAGGGCTTTTTATAGAAGCAGGGAAGTTTAAATCCGCACAAGTGCCTGGCCTGTAATAAATGTATTTAGGTGTTGGTTACATAAATAAAAATACAATTAAGTATGGCTCAGCGGAATCACGCCTGCCTGGCAAGCATGAGGTCCCAAGTTCAATTCCCAGTACCAAAAAAAAAAAAAAAACCTGTTACATTAATGAAGTCATAAAGATGAGAGCAAAAGGAAATGAAATTCTAATAGATGTAAATGAAAGGAAAAAGCAAAAGTTGGTCCTCTGAAAGCTGAAAAGCAGGTCCTCGAAAAATAAAGCTGACCAAACCCTGGTGAGGTCAATCAAAAGAAGAAAAGATTGCAAAAGTGTGCAATACTCAGGCTGAATAGGAGGCATGACTACAGAAATCAGGGGTTGAGAAAATGAAAAGAAAATACCTTGAGCATTTATTAGCGCTATCATATCGGGGAAATACTTGTTATTATCCGGTAAAACAAAGATATGCATGCTCTGTGACTCAGAAGTTTTGCGCATGAAAATCTAACCACAAACAAACCTTCTACATATGCACCAAAAAGGAAGTACAAGAAAACGCACAGAACCATTGTTCAGAACTGCAAGAAAGTAGAGTAATATGTCCATGTACAAGAGAATAAATATTGAATTGTAGTGGCTTCATGTAATGAAATGTGGATTAACTCTAAAAAATTAACATACTATCATCGTGTGGTGCACATAAGCTATAATGAATCTTGCAAACATATGGGCGGCAAACTAGCAAATTGAAGAAAAATACAGTAACTAATAAACTCAAGAACAACAAAAGTAAGCAATATGCGTTTCAAGATGTTTATCCATATTTATATGATGAGATTATCACTAAAAGCAAAGGAGTTATAATTGCAATAGCTAAAATAATGATTATCCTGAGTAAGGAAGTGAATGAATGAAATCAGAAGGCAGAGATAGCCAGTTTCAAGAGTATTAGAAATGCTACACTGTCAACTGGCTGGTGAGCACACATGAGAGCATTTAGTGAACACAGCTGATGAGATATAGATACAGATATAGATAGAGATAGAAATAAATGATATAGATATATATTGAGAGAGACAGATATAGACATAGGTATGGATAGATATAGATTACTCTATTTTATATGTAAAATAGATCAAAGCAAAAAGGGCATTTTATATTAAAAATATAAAAATGAAAAGGAAGGAGGGAAGGAAAGAAGGAAGGAAGGAAGGAAGGAAG